GTGCGTGCAAATTTCATCAATTACAAGGGTGCTTCTTTATGGAGAATCAGTACACGAGACCAAGTCAGATCTGGACATATCTCCAGGAGCTACACTAGCAAATAGATTCATTCCAATATCATCCTCAAGTGACATAGATAAATATGCTGCAGAAGACTTTACACAGCTCTCAATCAAAGCATTTATAAAGTTGATAGATGCTTCACAGTTCACACAACTTCAAGTAATTTCTTTTCGAGGCCTCAATGATTCTCCTGGATACTTCAGTAGCTCTAATTTGCTCTTCACGAGGAAGAGCTGCAGCTACAAGCGACCCAACAGCCTCATCAGAGCCATTCATCACTTCCTTTCACTCGTTTCTTTGCCAAGATTCCATGTTGAGGTCTGAATTTGATACATGGGCATCTCTCATTTCCTTCAGATTACCATAAATCTGATCGTCTTTCTCTGAATTCGATGCCAATCCAATCGCCCAATGTGGAAGAATCGAATTGAGGGAAATCGATCTAGGGCATCTTAGAAATGGAGTTAGGGAGAAAAGGAGTGGAATCGTGTTTTTCATTTGAAATCGTGTCCACCATGGCCGAGTTTGATGCCGTCGATTGCCACATGGACTACCGTCAAGCCACTTCAGACTCTTTCAAACGGCTGGGACGTGGGTGATGGATGGAGTGTGTAGTTTGTAAGTTCAGTGACCGTGGGATAGCAAAAGAAAGTTCAGTGACTACAACGTGACATTGTGCTAAGTTTGGTGAGTATTCAAACTTTTTACTCGAATTATGACCTTGTTTAGGGACGGATTAAAATTAGATTTTTTAAAATAAATTTTGACAACACTTGATGAAATGTGAGGTTGAAATTTGTAAATCCTATGAATATGTGTTTAAAATTAATTATCGACTTTAACTTATATTAAAATCTATATTTTAAGCCCTACCAAACATTGCTTATATGTCATAACAAATTTAGGGTCCATTTGACTGCAAGAATGAAATTTGGGTGGAAAGAAAATGAATTTCAGGGAATTGCATTGCTTAGAACTTGTTTTGTCAATTAATTATGTTTAATTGATATAATTTTTCACTTGGAAAATATTGTAATTTTGGATCTTTTGGTAATTGTTTGACTTTATTTTTCATGGAAATTATTCATTAAAGGGATGTAATTTGTTACAATTGGGGATATAATTTGTTTCTATTGCAAATAATAATAATAATAATAATAATAATAATAATAATAATAATAATAATAATAATAATTTGTCTAGAAAAACTTTTCCCACCAAACCCATAGGAAAAGCTTTTCCTCAAAAACCAA